CTGGGGTATTGGCAGGCGTGCTGGGGTGCTGATGGAGGTGCTGAGGTGCTGGTGGGGGTACTGGGGTGCTGGGTACTAGCAGGGGTGCTGGTGGGGTGCTGGGGTTCTGGGTGTTAGAAGGGGTGCCAGTGGGGGGTGTTTGGGTGCTGGTGGGTGTGCTGGGGTGCTAGTGGGGTGCTGGATACTAGCAGGAGTGCTGGCAGGGGTGCTGGGTGCATGAAGGGGTGCTGGGATGCCGGCAGGGGTGCTGGGTTGCTGGGTGCTAGCAGGGGAATGGCAGGGGGTGCTGGTGGGTGTGTTAGGGAGCTGGCAGGAGGTGCAGGGGTACTAGTGGGGGTGCTGGGTTGCTGGGTGCTAGCAGGATGCCAACGGGGGGGTGCTGGGATGCTGGCGGGGGTGTTAGGGTGCTGAGTGGGTGCTGGGGTGCTAGTGGGGGTGCTGGGTGATAGCAGGGGTGCCGGCAGGGGTACTCTGGTGTTATCAGGGGTACTAGTGGGGATGCTAAGGTGTTGGCAGGGGTGTTGGGGTGTTGGAGGTACTGAGGTGCTGGTAGGGGTTCTGGGATGCTGGGTGATAGCAGGGGTATTGGTGGGGGCTGCTGGGGTGCTGGCAGGGGTACTGGGGCACTGGCGGAGGTGCTGAGTTGCTGTCGGGAGTGGTGGGTACTAGCTGGGTACTACCAGGGGTACTGGTGGTGCTGTTGGGGTGCTGGCAGGAGATGCTGGGGTGATGGTGGTGCTGGGTGCTGTTGGGAGTGCTGGGGTACGGGGTACTAGCTGTGTTGCTGGTTCAGGTGCTGGCTGCTAGCAGGGTTGCTCAGGTGCTGGCAGGGGGTGCTGGGGTGCTGACAGGGTTACTGGGGCACTGGTAGGAGTGCTGAGGTGCTGGCAGGGGTCCTGGGTTGTGGGATACTAATAGTGTGGTGGAGGGAGTGCTGGGGTGCTGGTGGGGCTGCTGGGGTTTGGTGGGGGTAATGGTTGCTGGTGGGTTGCTGAAGTGCTGGCTGGGGTGCTGGGGTGCTGGCAGGGGTGCTGGGGTGCTGGCAGGGGTGCTGGGTTGCTGGTGTGGGTGCTGGCATGCTAGTGGGGTACAGGTGTGCTAGTGGGAGTGCTGGTTCTTGGGAGCTAACAGGATTGCTCGCAGGGGTGCTGTGGTGTTGGGGGCTAGCAGGGGTGCTGTTGGGGGTGCTAGTGGGGTGCTGGGTGCTGGGGTGGGGTGCTGAGGTGCTGGTGGGTGTCCTAGGGTGCTGGGTGTGAGCAGGGCTGCTGGTGGGGGGTGCTAGGGTGCTATGTGCTAGCAGGGGTGCTGGCAGTGGGTGCTGTGGTGCTGGCGGGGGGTGCTTGGGCACTGGCGAGGGTGCTGCAGTGCTGGCAGGGGTGCTAGGGTTCTAAGTGCTAGCAGGGGTGCTGGCAGGGGGTGTTGGAGTGCTGGCTGGGGGTGTTGGGGTGCTGCCTGGGGTGTTTGGGTGCTGGCAGAGGTGCTGGTGGGGATGCTGAGGTGGTGGCGAGGGTGTTGGGGTGCTTGGTGCCACAGGGTGCTTGTTGCCAGCAGTGGTGCTGGTGGGGGCTAAGGGGTGCTGGCAGGGTTACTGGGTGGTGGTGGAGTGCTGGGTGCTGGGGGTGAGACTGGTGCTGGTGAGGGTGCAGGAGTGCTGATGTGGGTGCTGGGGTGCTGGTGGTGGGTGCTGGGGTGGTGGTGGTGGTTGCTGGGGTGCTGTGTAGTAGCAGGGGTGCTGGTGGGGTGTTGAAGTGCTTGTGGGGGTATTGGGGTGCTAGTGGGAGTGCTGGGGTGCTGGTGGGTTTGATGGGGTTCTAGTGGGGGTGCTGGGGTGTCGGCAGGGGTCCTGCAGTGCTTGTGGGTGTGCTAGGGTGCTGGGTGCTAGCAGGGGTGCTGGCGTGGGTGCTAGGGTGTTACATACTAGTAGGGATGCTGGTGGGGTGCTGAGGTGCTGGTAGGAGTGCTGGGTGCTGGTGGGGTTGCTGATGTGCTGGTGGATGCTAGGGCGCGGTGCTGGTGGGGTACTGGGGTGCTGGGTGATAGCATGGGTCCTTGGGGTACTGG